CAATTTTGGGCTCTGTGTCTGGCATATTACGAAGACCATTGTGTCTTGTGCCTCTGAATGTTTCCTGTCCTCCTGAATGCCGATTACGTTTTGACGCTAATTTCGAAGTTACAGTTCCCGGGACCGAATTCCACACGAAGGAGCTGCTCAGATATGCCCCCTATGGGGACGTCTGAATACAGTGTAGACTTGTGCGACAGATATGCACAGCTGCAGAGGATTTCAAATATGGTGCTGGGCTGTTTACCTGACTGGCTAGAAAGGAGCTATTCACGTAGCCATCGCTGTAGGTCCTTAAAGATAAAGTGACTCACCCACATACCAAAATGCAATCATTCAACCAATTTGTCTTCTTAGGTATGACGGTTGTGGGTATCAAACAGAAAGGCTTCTGTAGCACAGTAAGTGTTCATGCGGTCAACGGTAAGATAGATGTTTTACATCAATATATGTGTATGTTCATATATATATATATATATATATATATATGCGTTAGATTCTATTGATACTCCAAACCTGCGCGTGCTAACAGACAGCTCACCGTGAGGTGTCGTCGGAAGTCTAAATATCAAATCTTAAGTACTACGACGTATAAATTCTTCTGCGGTAAACAAGTCACCCATGGCGTTATTGATAGCTTTCATTATGAGATGTTTGCAGAGGTACATTATATACTCGAATATTTTGAAATGCGTGTTTGGTTTCTGGGGCGCTTTTATGCTGAGTCCGCAGTTTACCTTTTGCGTCCTTAGACGCATAGCTACCATATAGCTCATAAAAAGTCGTGGCTGGAATAGCCCCAGGCAAAGACAAATACAAACAATATTGGAGGAATAATTAGTTAGAAGCTCGTCATCATTTTTAGGAAACCGGTCATAACTAAACAACCAGGAATGCATTTGTTCCTATCCATAATTTGTATCCTTCCTTATAATCAATATGCAAGCCAAGATCATAGTGAAAGCCAACTAAACAGCACCACGGGGGCCCGTCCCGATGATGCCTTCTGCGGTAAGCTCGAAATCAACCACACTAGGCTCCGATTCCATTCTCGCTCTACCGATGTAAGCTCTGACCGTCAAAAATGGAACATCTCGGTCAATCTGAAATGTCTAACCAATGCTATTTTAAGATGGTGGTGTGCCGGTGATATTACTGATGGGGGCTTGCGAGTAGTATGTTTTCTCGTAAACCCGCTTCGCGTCTCTTGAAAAGTGTGATCTCTTACGGGATTTGTGGAGTCACTCTGTAGCATTTGCTTGTATTTGAGTAGCAGTGAATGAAGGAAGACGCGTTCAAGGAGAAGATGGATATTCAGTTTTTGGAAACAAGATGCATATGAGNATGAGAGTTTTGCTCCCCTGTCCAATAGTCTGTAACTGTTCAGTTGGTGTTTTCTAATAAATAACTCCGCAGCGAAGGCTTCTTCCTTTCAGTGGTGTTGCCCGTTCGCCAGTTGACCTTCAGATGCATATCTTCAACAACACAGATGACACGCTGTAAAATCAACTCTCTGTACAGGCTGATGCTGATACTATGCGGAAGTGCAAGGAGCGCGGATTTATGAGACCAAATGTAGTTTCATTGACAAGTTACATCAGATATTCTAAGGTGTTCTTCGTTGAAGATTGGAATCTGGACAGACCTCGCTGCAATTCGTCGTCATGCATTTAAACACGTGGTTAGCAGCACATCCGAAAGCTGTTGCGTGAGGAAGCGAACAATATTCACTTGCGTGCTAACTTGGTGTTCTCAGTTGAATGTCACCTGAACCACTCGTTGCAGCTTTTTTCAAACGAGTGTGCTACATAACACAAGGACCGCCTTGTGCTTCAGATTCGACGATATTCAATACATTAAAGTGTGTTTCTTGAGCCAAGGCCACTAAAGTAATTAGTATTAGCTGTCCACCGCCCTCAATAGACTGAGTATTATCATTTATTTTTGAAGGGCATG